ATTCTGATAAAAGCAAATATAAGCAAAAAAGTTGAGATTTTTCTTTAATAGAAAGGACCTTTCCCCAGAAGTACTACTTTGCCAAAGTTGCCTTATATTTTTTTTTATCATAATTTGGCATTATTGTGTACTCTGAAAAGAATGCTTTTCTCCAAATCTAAGAATATGGAACATTATCATGACTGTTTCTAATAACATAAAAGATATTGTACAGAAATGAAGCACTCATGGCTAAGAGCTTTTATAGAAACTAGAAAGGGGGAGTTTACATAGAGGCGATTGTCCTTACCTGGATGGAGGACCAAGTGTCTATATCTGGCATGGTCCTACCCCTTTTGTCAGGTTCTCTGCTGCTTCAGTTCTCCCTGGGACTTCCAAGAAGTCCCCAGGATCTTAGGGGTCAGCTAAGATCCTGCCTCCGACCACCTAAATGGGTCCCAGCTAAAACACTGGCAGGGGTTGTGACCTGATGCCTATGTGATTTTTTTAAACTTAAAGTTCTTACACGTCACTCTGGATTTTTTATATAAAATTCTATTTGACACTTATTCTTCATGTGTGAATTACTGCTTGGGCTTGGGATCTCTTATATATACTATATTAAATGGATACTTCCTATTAGTTTAATTATGCAATACATTGCTAGGTTGGTGATTAGGCCGATGCTACAGACAAACAAAGATTTGCATGGAGAGAGAGAGTTAGAAAAAAAAGGTTATTAACTTCCCCAAGAAAAGGGAAGGATCAGACGCTAAAGATTAGCATGGCATGTGAGTGCTTGAGGCTGGAGGTTTATAAAGTTTCTTTCCCAGGAGGCTGGGAAAGAGTATTCCTATGGAACATGATGGTGGGAGGAGGTTGTTGTTGACATGGTGATTAGCTATTCAGGATGCCAGCGGCCTGAGTTTCAGGTAATTGCTCATATAGACAGCAAGACTGGGCCAAAGTCTGTAAAACAAAGTCTTAAGACACGGATATTAATTTTTGAATGTCCTTGGATTTAGGGAACTAAAACTGCTTAGCTAGGAGTGTGCTGTTTATGGATAAGATAGCAGGAGGGCTGGGTAGAAGAAACATTCTTAGGGGAGATGGCAGGAGAGCTGGTGCCATCATGACTGTCTGTTTTGTTCATTTTGGAGACCAGGTGGTCTGTTGTGTAAACAAGAGGCTGGACTGATAACTAGAAACAAATCCTTGGAGCAAAGATATTAATTATAATTTATTGGTGTCAGTTACTGGGGGCAGGTCACAGCTGTACTTATCAGTGACACTAGACAGAGTAGTTAATCAAGCATACCTCAGAGCAAGGGAGTTAACAGAGTCTATTACAAAGTAAGACATTAGTCACTATAACAAGAAAAAAGTACAAGCCAACACCAAGTCGCCTGTCCTAGTTGACCGGGGTAACTCCATTTTGGCTTAGGTCCTTTCATACATCATATGCAAAAAGAATATGAAATACATCACAATTAAAGAACATTTTGATTATCATAACTATGGAATGCATTATATATAAGAAGAGTAAGGAAAATATCAGTTTTATGAAAGGGTAGTGTCTGCAGAGCCAGGAATTAGGATTACGGCTTCTAATTCTGTGTGGAGGCTAGGGGAAGCAGTGAGCATGTGTCTGCCGAAAGCCTCATGTCCCCACCGAGGCAGTTACTTTGGAAGCGAGGGGACCGTCTGAGTCTGTGCTGCAGTAACCAAATACCACAAACTGGGCATTCTATGAGGAACATAAACTTATTTTCTCATCATTCTGGAAGCGAGCAACTCCAAGGCACCAGAGAATTCAGTGCCTAATGAGAGCCGCCCTCTGCTTCCAAGATGGTGCCCTTGCTGCATCCTCACATGGTGGAAGAGCAAGAAGGGCTAGTTGGCTCCCTCCATCCCTTGTATAAGGTTCCTGATCCCACTCATGAAGGGTGTGCTCGTGACTTAATCACCCACCGAAAGCCCTACCTCTTAATGCTATCACATGGGTTTACATTTTAATGTGTGAATTTGAGGGGGACACATTCAGCCCATAGCAGGGACCCAGCAGGACTTTTCCCCTGGGCATGAGAGGGGAGAGCCTATGCCCAGGAGGTGATGCCTCCCACACTGGCCTTCCCACTACTTGCTCCCACGTCTCCTGGTGGGGCGCGGGGGCGAAGGCAAGTGTCATTGTCCAGGAGGGCTGCGGCAGCCATGCATCCTGTTTTTTTTTTGAAAGCAGGATTTATCGAGAGGACAGAAAAGCTCCCACAGTGGGAGGGACCCAAAGGGGTTGACCAGTCATGCATTCTTGACTGCACTCTGTGAAATTGTGGGAATGACCCGAGTGATGCCCAGCAGGTCTCCTGGAAAAGGAAGCGAGGCAGGCGGCAGCTCTGTGGGTGGCAGAGAAGTCCCAGACTGTTCCACGTGCTGCCTGGGATAGAGCAGGGGGCTCTTTGAGCCTCAGTCCCTTCATGTATTCAGTGGGTGTATGTTGAGCATCTACTATGCATCAGACACTCTCCAGGCTCTGGGAATACAAGAAAAATGACAACTCCTGCCCTCAGGTAGCTTATCTCCTGGTGGAAAGAGGGTTAACAAACAGGTAATTATACACTATAATGCTGCCTAGTGGTGAGTGTTTTGATGAGCAGTAAAGCAGGGCTGAAAGGAAGCCTGTAGATACAGGGATCAGAGAGAACCTCTGAGAAAGTGACCGTTAGAACAAAATGAAGGGGAGTGAGAGAGCAGAATGTGCAGATGTCTAAAAGAAGATTGTTGCAGGAAGAGGGAACCACACATGCAAAGCGGTTGAAGAGAAATCAAGAAGGCAGTGTAGCTGGGGCAGAGAAAGTGAAGAGAGTGAGATCAGCGAAGAAAGAGGCTATATGGTTGGTGACCCTGGAGGCCGTATAAGATCTTTGTCTTTACTCGGGGTGACTTAGAAAGTCATGGTGGATTTTGAGCAGAAGAGTACTAAGTTCTGTTTTTTGCTTACCAGGATCACTGTGGTTTGTCTCTTGAGAGTAATCTTAAGGTGACAAGGTGAGATGCAGGAAAATCAGTTGAGAAGCTATTGCAATGATCCAAGCAAGGTATGATGGTGCTTGCACCAAAATGGTAGCAGTGGAAGTGGTGAAAAGCATTCAGATTCAGATTCTATTTCAAGGTAGAGAACCATGATTTCCTGGTGGAGCAGATATGGGTGGGAGACAGAGACAGATTGCCTCTTAATGTTTTTGGTTGTCCTCAGCAGCTGGAAGGGCAAAGGTACCATCAACTGAGATGGACAACTACAGCAGGTGATGGTTCAGGGTTCCAGTTTAGACTTGCTAAGTCAGAGGCCCATTCAGCAGGTGAATGGTAGAGTTGGGGATTTTGTGTGCAGAATTGGAGCGACCATATTTCATCTTCAAAACAATACGTGGGTATATATCACCATGTTACAAATGAGGAAATAAATGCTTAATAGATTGAAGTTCTGTCTTAAATGGCATATTGCAAGCATTGTCACAGCATGTAAGTAGTGGAACAAGGATTTCCATCCCACTCAATTGATAGCAGAGCCTATACTCTCTCCCCTCCCCAACACTGCTCATGAAATCTTTGTGGAAAGGTAGTAGGCACACACCCCCAGAGCTTGGCAACCCAAGTGTGGAGTGTGTGGTACATGCAGTACTTCAATGGAAAAACATCGTTTAATCCTTACAACAACCCTTTACATACCACAATTATCCCCCTTTTACTGCCATGGAAACCGAGGCACAAAGAGTCTCAATTTAGTAAATGTGGAATATGATCCAGAATTCAAGTTTGTTTCTTATTTGTTTGCTTGTTTTTGAGTGGGAGTCGTACTCTGTCACCCAGGCTGAAGTGCACCGGCAAGTTCACAGTCACTGCAGCCTCAACCTTCTGGGCTTAGGCAATCTTTCCACCTCAGCCTTCCAAGTAATGGAACTATAGCCACGTGTTACCACACCCAGCTAATTTTTCGATTTGATGCAGAGATGAGGTTTTGCCAAATTGCCCAGGCTGGTCTCAAAACCCTGGGCTCAGGCATTCCTCTCACCTTGGCCTCCCAACGTGCTGGGATTACAAGCTTGAGCCACATGCTCAGCCCAGAAATTCAGCTTTTAAGCACTTAAGTCATCCTCCAAAAACAAATGTTTGTCCTACCAAAGAATAGAATGGAATTGACTGAAATACAGATATTACTTTTTGGGAAATATCACTCAAAGATGCTTTACCTTTGGATCAATAGATGTTGTTGCATGAAAGAATCACAGCCTTGACAGCTGGAACCCAGAAAACCTTGAATTCAACAAACATTTACTGAGTACCTCCTGCAAGCTGGGCACTAAGCAAGGCACAGCAGCTGCAGAGGTGAATGAGTCACTGAGAAGCTCAAGGTCTAGTGCAGTTGTTAGGGTTATTTGTAGTTAGGCACTAATCAGGATACATAAAGTAGTGATTGCATTCAACACTTTTCTTCTTGTCACTCTTGTTTGTGCAAGGTTGCATTAGAGTATTAATAAGTGAGTCAGATCATTTGCATATTAGGAAAAAATGGCGTTATCTTGAGCTAGTCCAAGCTGCACTTCTTTTTTTTTTACAAACTGGGACTTGCCTCTTCCCTTTTATATCACACTTGTCTTTTGTATATAGTGGAAGCAGGGAGAGAATGTGGTTAACAGTAAATATAAACTTAAGATGATAGTCAGCAATTTACATTTTGCTTTCATGATGATTAGTTCTTAAATGCTTAACTAGCAAAAATACTAAAAGAAATACTGCCATCTTCTCATCTTTGCTGGCATTTGAAGCTGATTTATTCAAGCTTCACATGAGCATGCCTCATGGAGAGCACATTGCCTTACAGAGCCAGCATCACACATGTGGTGCTTTGTCCAGGAGGATTGATAGATGAATGCAGAGTTATATAAAAAAATCTGTTTAGAAACTGTCTTACAGACAGTTTACTGATTGTCTATTCAATGTTTTTTGTTTCTGCCTTTCCACAGAAAAGTCTGGACACCTACTGTTTCCTAGTCTTTGCTACAATTTGTGTCACAGGTGCTATCTACCTCTACTTTGTCCTGCCTGAGACCAAAAACAGAACCCATGCAGAAATCAGCCAGGCGTTTGCCAAAAGGAACAAAGCTTACCCCCCAGAGGAGAAAATTGACTCAGCTGTCACTGGTGATAAGACGAATGAAAGGCCTGAACCAGAATCCTCCTCCACATTGGACAATTATGTCAAAAACAGGGTTGTCTAAGTGGATGACTTCACCATTTCAGGAAAGCAAAGATTTCCCCACTTTTGGAAAACTTAAACTGGTTGAAGCCATGCAAGTCTTATATTATTAATTATTTAAAAACAAGCCTATGCTATTCTAGCATCACGACTTGTTGGGTTTTTTTTCACAGGTGAATCTCCCAAATTTTTCTGGAAACTGGAATCATCTCATGTTTCAGTACACCTCTTCATTTCTCAATATCGACCTTTGACCTCCTCATGACTTAACCTGTGGTTTCAAGATGAAATTGGGGAAGTAGTATTGAAATGCTTCCTCTGATAGAGAACTCAGTGAACTGGAACTCATAGACTGAGGTTCTAGTCCAAGCTTTACCATCAGTAGCCTTGACCTGACCTCAGTCTGAATCCTGATGCCTCAATGACCCTTGGCTTTCATCCCGAATGTAGGCTTTCAGAATTCAGTGGAAAGCTAAGCCTAGCCTTAAAAAATTAATTTATTCACTTAGTAAATGCCTGTTACCAATCTTTGGCTCTGCCCTATGGATCTCAGGCTTAGAAGAACCTAATACCAACCCATCAGTCTACAAGTTTGACCTTTCCCAGGCTGTGCTTCAGAAATAGGCTCAAGACTTCCAGGGCTGAAGCTACCTTCACTTCAGACTTATAGATTCCTGTGTGCTGACAGAAAGCATGAAGATCAATGTGTGGAAGCTAAACCTAGCCTTGGTGGGGGAAAAAAAAACATTGTAATTAATTGGTGATATCTGCCACAGGTGTAGGAGTGAAAATGCCAGCATATGTACCTCATGCTTGCCAAATCTACAGGAGATGTATCCGAAAATATAATGATCTGCCTTGAAAGACGGTGAATTCACCATCACGCAAAACGCTCAAGTGAAGACTGGGTGATTATTCATCTTGACTATTGTTAAGGAAATCTAAGTATCAGTGTTAAAAGAAGATAATCAGAATAGATATGTTTAAGGGTTCTTGTAACCCAACTATCTAGAGCTGTTTTGGTGGGAGCAACTTGCAGCTTGCTGTTGTAATGCATAGCTTGTGGTTAGGGAGATTCCCTATACTTGCCTCCAAAATGGGACAAATTCAAAGTGGCTATAAGCAAATGAAAGGGCACTTGAATATCACCATTGTGCTTGAATTTAGCATGTCATAGAAGGAGAGGGGCCAGGAGGAAAGACTTCACCTAGCAACACCAATGGAATCCTTTCAGCAATAATTTCTTGAGTTTTCTCTGATCATTCATGACAAAGGCAGCCTTAGCAAAAAGCTGAGGTCTGATTTTCTTTCCTGATGAATATTATTTAATCACTGGGCCTCTCCTTTGGTTAACTGTCAACTCAATGCACCATGCCATCCAGCTTTGATTTGGCTTGCGAATTTGGATGTGTTTGTCAATATGCCAAGAAAGGGATATGTGGGAACCAGAAGTGCCTGAGATAAAAAGAGCCAAATAATGTGTATAATAGAAATATTAGCCTTTGGCTGTTCTCTTTCACTTGGATACTTAAGTATTTAGTCAGTAAATATTAATTAGATACCTACTACAGACGGGCACAAGCTAGGTAATAAAGATGTATCAGTAAGCAAGAAAACACACTGCCCTTACCTGTACAAGCTGACCAGAGAAGATGAAAAATAAAAAAATTAACAGTAAAGTGCCATCAGTACCGGAGGGATAGGGGAAACACAGTGATATAGGAATATGCACCAAGAACTATTGGAGTAAGAATCAGGAAAGCCTTCCCAAGTAAGTGACAGAATTAGAATAGGGAACAATGTGACTATCAGGCAATAGACCAAGAGTTATTCTTATGGGCTATGACATTGGAAAAGACAGTGGAGCCACTGTCTTAGTTTGTTTTCTGTAGCTGATAATAGAATACTGAAACTGGGTAATTTATGAAGAAAATGAATTTGTTTCGTACAGTTAGGGATGTCCAGAAGTCCAAGGTCAGTGGGTACATCTGTGAGCGCTTTCTTGCTGGCGGGGACTCTCTGCAGTCCCAAGGCGTCACAGTACATTAGATGGTGAAGGGGGCTGAGTGTGCTTGTTTAAGTCTATCTTTTTTTTTCTTGTAAAGTCACCAGTCCCATCTCATAATAACTTATTAATCCATTAACCCATTGACATATTAATCCAAGAATGGATTTATCTATTCTTGAAGGCAGGGCCCTTATGGACCAATCACCTCTTAAAGGTCTCATCTCTCAATATTGCCAAGTTGGGGAATAAGTTTCAACATGAGTTTTAGAGGGGACAATCAAACCACAACAGCTACATAAAGGGGACTTTTGAAAAGAAAAACAATAAGGCACCCATAATCTTATATGCTTCCTTCTCCCTAACACTACTGATTTAATTTTACATAACTCTGTCCAGTTCTTACCTATTATTTATCCAGTTGCAATCACAGAATACATAAAATACAATTACAGTCATCTTGTCTCTTTGTGTTTTCTTTTACTTTGTATTAAATCAAATGCATCGTCTCAATTCCAAAACCTTTTGTTCATACTCTAATTTCCACTACAGTGAATTCTTCATGTATAAAGTTGTTTTTTTGCAAACCAAGAGATAATGGGGACTGGTGAGTCAAAGAGATAGACATTACTGTGAGCTTTGCTATATAGACTCTGGTGGTTTGCTAAAAAGCACTAACCATTTACAGCTCCCTGTATCCATTCATGGACTCTAAAACAGTCTCTAGTCAAATTAATAGGTCTCCTTCTTTAATGTCTGCCCAGGTGTTAAGAATTGGGTCCTTGTCTTACTATTTCACCTATCTTCTCACCTTCACACCATGGGGTTGACATTTCTTCCTTTCAGATTCACTAAAAGAAAAGTAACTTTTCCAGCTTTTGGTTCTGGTTAACATGGAGTAAGAACACTCTACCCTATTTCTAGCCTTGGACAGAATCATAATGTAAATATATGAGGATGCTGAAAAGCAAATGATAGCAGGAGAACTGAAGAGGGAAATAAAAACTCAAAGAATAGATAATATAGAAATGAATTTTCATCATTTTTCCCTCCATATCACCTGTTTTATACTCCAGGACAAACCAACTTCCAAAACTGCTCAATGGGCATCAGGAGAAAAAACTTAAAGAGAAATACCCCTGTCCCTGTCCAGAGTGACAGGAAGGGGTGACTCTGTGAGTAAAAAAATATGTGGGAAGAGAAAAAATATTTAAAGAAATAATAATTGAAAACTTTTCAAAGAAAGACAAATTTATAAAATCAATATCAGCAAACCCTTAAGAGGCTAAATTAAAAAAAAACCACTCCCAGGTATATCACAATCAAACTAATACAAATAAAATATAGTGAAAAAACCCATGAAAGGAGCCAGAGAAAATTGACACATTACATATAGTGTAAATGATGTGGATGACTATAGATTCCTCATTAGAAACCATGTGGACCTGAAGGCACTTGAATAATATTTAAAGATTTTTTAATACTGAAAGAAAAAATTGTCAATCCAGTTTGAAAATTGCAATTGGTCCACCTATATGCTGTTTACAAGAATCTCACATTAAGTATAATGATATAGATAGGTTAAAAGTAAAAGTGAGAAAAGATATAGCGTGCAAGCATGAATCAAAAGAAAACTGGCATGGCTACCTGGATATTAGAAAAAGTATGCTTTGAAACAAGAAAGTTTATGCATAACAAAGAGGAAATTATGTAGTTACAAATAGGTTAATTGCTACAAATAAATAAAAACTCTAAATGTGCATGTACCTCAAATCAATTTCAAAATATATGAAGCAAAAGCAGAAAGAATAGAAAGGAAAACTGAACAAATCCACAATTGTACTTGAAGACTTCAAAGCTCCTCTCTCTGTAATCTATAACAAGTAGAAAATGGCAAAGATATAGAAGACCAAACAACACTATTAAACAGTTTGACCTGACAGCTAAGAAACTCTCCAAATAACAGCAAAATATATACTCTTTTTAAGTGCATCTGGAACATTCAATAAGGTAGATACAATACATTTAAAAACGCAACAAATTTAAAAGGGCTGAAATCATAAAAATTATATTCTCAGATCATACAGAAATCAATAACAGAAAGACATTTGGAGCTAAATGGTCACAAAGATGAAAATAATAAACATTAGGGACACCAATAAAGGGGAAGGGGAAAGGAGGGTTAGGCTCAGAGACTACCTACAGGGCAAAATGTTCACTCTTGGGGGAATGGGCCACCTGGGAACCAATCTCCACCACTACACACTATGTCCATGTAATGAATATGCATGTGTACTCCCTGAATCTAAAGTTAAAGTTAATATAATATTCAAACTTTGAAAACTTAAAACGTGCTCCTAAATAATCTGTGAATCAAAAAGGATATCTCAGAAAAGGTAATAAAATACTACGAACTGAATAAAAATGAAAATATCAACAAATTTTATGAATTCAGTTAAAGCAATGCTCAAAGGAAATTTTATAATGTAATGTACTCTAAATGCTAGAAAGTTTACCAATACATAATCTAAGATTTCAGCTTAAGAAACAAGAACAAGAAGAATGAACTACACAAAAAGCAAACATGAGGCCAAAAAATAATAAAAATAAGAATAAAAACAGAAAAACAGAAAATAATGAGAAAGTCAATGAAACCAAAGATTGGTTCTTTTCTTTGAAAAGATCAATAAAATTGGTAAACCTCTATCTAGGTTAACCAAAAGATAGAGGAGGGGAGAAGAAAGGTTAGAGAAATGTAGAGAGGGATAGGATGGGAGGGAGAGACAGAGGGAGAGCAAAAGAGAGAGAACACAAATGACCAAAAGCAGTAATGAAAGAGGTGACATTTCTACAGTGTTTTAACATTAGAAGAGTAATAAGAAAATACTAACAATAACTCTGTCCATAAATTCAACAACTTAAATGAAATGAACAAATTTTTGAAAGACTAACTACCAAAAGTCACTCAAGAAAAAAATAGAAAACCTGAACAGTCTCATACCCATTTAAATAAATATTTAAATTTATAGCCAAAACTTTTTGACAAAGGAAATTCTAGTTCCAAATAGTTCTACTGGAAAAATACCAAACACTGAAAGAGAAAAGCACACTAATTCTACAAAATTTCTTTCCACAAA